TTATGTAGAGTTTTTATGTAGAGTTTTTATGTAGAGTTTTTATGTAGAGTTTTTATGTAGAGTTTTTATGTAGAGTTTTTATGTAGAGTTTTTATGTAGAGTTTTTATGTAGAGTTTTTATGTAGAGTTTTTATGTAGAGTTTTTATGTAGAGTTTTTATGTAGAGTTTTTATGTAGAGTTTTTATGTAGAGTTTTTATGTAGAGTTTTTATGTAGAGTTATGTAAAATTTTTATGTAGCTTTATAAACCCAATGTAGATTTACATAGCTATTTATATATATATATATATATATCTATGTAGGATTATGTAAAATTTTATTAAAGCTAGAAATAGATTTTAAAGTTTTAAACTAGGGTTTGGGAAGAGTTTTTTGGCCTGCTGAACATTTTTACTTAGTATACCGAACACTGATTACCTTAGTTATTTTTGAGAAATAGTAAAGTAAATTAATTTATTTTTATATAGATATAAATAGAATTTATGTAAGTTTTATATAAAAACTCTAACTATGTAAGTCTACATTGGGTTTGTAAACTTAAATAAAAATTTTATATAACATTTATATAACTTGATAGAGCTATGTAGATTTTATAAAAAATAACTTTGCTGATGGAAGTCTTGCTGTACTGCAATATTGGTTGTCAGTTTAATCTGATTATATTAATGACCAATTACTATTTTCAAAGTTGTAGGAGGTACCAATATTGAAGCACATGATTTTCAAATTACAGTAATCCGAATTACTATTTTCGAAATTGTAGGTGCCAATACTGAAGCACAAGATAATGGTTTGTCTTAACAAATATTGGTTGTCTTGCATTAAGTTTTTAATCTGATCAAGTTTACTAAGGACCTGAGTTTTTCTAGGTCGATTACGTATCACATTTACATGATCAGAATTTACGCCTCATTTTTTGAGAATATTTTTTGTTAAAACATAAAAAAGCAGTTTTACAAAAAAAACTTATCATTATATATTGATATTGCCACATAATCAAAAGGCTTAAATACACGGACATCCGAATTTTGATCTGGTATTTATAATGATCGAATTCGAATGTTGTGCGTATTAAAATTTATATATTTCGGTCATCCAAAGTTTTTATTTTACTATACATCGGATAGCTGCGTGCTGTGATGCACTTTGAGACACGTTTTGTTCAATGCAGAATTTTGTAGACTAAATTCGTAATTTAAATTCGCAAATTAATTATGATATTTTATTGTTATAAATTACAATATACAGTATATGTGATTTTTGCTAAGGAAATGACCTTCTGGGACCATATGGGTTTGATAAATAAAGTTTAACTAGCAGATTTTGATTTTCAATATCTTCAACAAAGATATTATTGTTGGAATTCATTTTACCTGCATCAGAAATTATGTATTCTTGACTGTTTGTTAATATAATAAATGAATTTTGCTAGTACGTATAAATCACACTATCTCCCATATTATTAAAGTCATTATTTTCAACCTCTATTGCTTTATCTGATTTTAAAATTGAGATAAAATTTTAGAGTCATTTTTCCATTTTACAGTTTTAAAATAGGTTCATAAATTTCTATGATGATCTTTATCCCATCATTTCTTCAAAAGCTCAGTATAACATACTGCTATACCTTTTAGGATAATCTGTTTCTTTAGAAACTTATTAAGATTCTAAAATTTTAAAGACAATTTTAAAATCTAAAGGCTGATAATTAAGGCTCTGGCTTACAAAATGCTGTCATTTTACAAGTCTTACTTTTTGTCCTTTGTTGTTTAGAATATATATATTATGGATTTAAAATTGAGTTGCGTTAAATGATCTATTAATATTAGGCTAATTAGCCGGTTTATCATTTATGCGCCAGCTTAAGATAATTTCAATTTAAACTAACTATGTATAAGTATTTACATATTTTGCAGCGAGCTTTTAGCTATATGGAAAAATGTAGTATACAGTACGACTGGTAAAACACGTATGTTTATATAAATTTTGCATAACATCGATATATACAGTACGTATATAGCAATAATAGCATGCGTCAATAACTTTTTTTAATATATTTGATTTAAAAAACAATTGCAAATTAAAAAAAAAATCAATTATTAATTATAAATACTATCAAATATTAACTATCATTAAAACATTAGTCAAAGTTTGGAAGTTCGACGGGTTTGCTTATTAAAACAAGTTTAACTGTTAATAAGTACGTGTATAAAAAAATAATACTTAAAACCTAATAATTTTGTTGAATAATTTCTTACCTGGATTAGGTAGATTTTGATATTTCAAAAAGACGACTTGAATAAATAGCTTGTTTATGTGTCTGATAGTTGAGTCGTGTCGGTGTGGCTTGATTGAAATTTTTGCCAGAATTATTGATTTTTTTAACCTGCTTATATAATTCAGTTTCTTTATCGAACAAATTATCACGAAATTGTCTTAGCGTTTCAGCTAATTCTTTAGCGGTCGGTCGGTTTTGAGGTTCAGCATCTAAGCATTTATTCATCAAATCCAAAAGTAACCTAGGAACTTCGCATCTAATTTCAGGTCTATAACCTAGACAAATTTTAATTGCTAGATCCTCATCATGTGAAATATCATGATATGGAGGATACCCATTAAAAACTTCTAACATGATTATTCTAAAAACTCTACGTAACTCTACATAAAAACAACTTCGTGATGTCCCTAAGTGCACACTCTATAAGTACACGCTCTATGTAAATTCTCTTTAAATGCATGGCATAGCTTGGCCTAAATTTATAAGAGTACTATATATTTTCCTCTTTATAAATGCCCACTCATTAGTTTTTAGAATAAAATAGCTTTAAGTCCTAACGTAATTTTGATTATGTAAATCCTTTACATCCTTAAAGCAATAACTCGTCAGCTCAAATTTTGAACCTTTAAAAATTTTTATAACTAGGTGGATTTTTTAAAAAAATTTTCATAAAATTTATATACTGTATATATAAAGCAGCTGTCAGGTCTATTTAAAATTTCATGTTATAAAAGACCAAGAAACTAATTTTATATGGCCTACCTTTGAAATCTATCAGGTCCGTTCCGTCCCTAAACTAATATTGTTAGTCGAAATACCCTATTTTAGTATATTTAGACAATTTTGTGTCGAAATACTGTGTGAAAAAAGCACGTATAAAATGTGGAAAAATATCCAAGCAGATATCATTTAGAAAAATATATAATTAAACCTATTTGATAGCGTTTTTTGGTCAAATTTGTTTTAAGGTAGCGTGAAATCCACAAAATAAACAAGTTCAGATACTTGTTAATAAATAAGTTTATATATATTTTTTTTAATTTAACCATTTCGACATTATTAGACATTTTGTCATTATTTAGACATTTCAGCATTTAAAATTTCGGCATTATTTTAGAATTTCGGCAGACTAAATATCAAATGTCGAAATATTTCTACAAACTCAAACCAATTTCAGCAAACAACATTACCCTAACCAACCATGTGCTCAGAGTTTACTACCACGATTTCATACGCTTCGAACAATATTTATAAGTTGACAATCATATGAAATATAGATTGTACAATATATTGACGCTAGTTTAAGTTTGTGCCATTTTTTTAAAAAAAGATTTATTGGCGTTAGTGGTTAAAAAGAATGTGTATTAAATATTAAAAATTATCTAATTGACAATCTCTTCCTAAATTTTTTTTATTCATTGCTCTATAGCTAAAACTCTGTATTTGCACATATTTTTACATTGAACCCATTTTATATTTCTGAAAATTATTGAATAATTTTGTATCACAATAAAATCTAGGTTATACACAACGGATCTTTTAGAACTAAGTGTATTTTTCAATTTTAGTAAATACCTAAATTTTATAAGAAAAAAAAAAATAATCAATAAGAATAAATTTTTTTGAGAATCACATCAAAAAATCCAAATAAATTATACCGGGAATAATTCTCCACTTTACAATTTCACAGTATCTATCCCAATCTTTTTTATATTTATTCTTACATTTTTCTTCATCCCTAAATTCTCGATGAATTAATAATACTGCAAAATATACAACATAAAAGTATGGTATAATATCATCAAATCCTAAATAATTTTGTTAGTAAATATTATCTATGGTTTGTGATTTAAAAAAAATGCGTCTATTAAGATATTAATTTACCACAAAGCAAACACCAAGCCCATGAAATTAACCAGTCGCCTATATTGGAAGCAAGATTTATATAAGCTTACAAAATCATTACAAAAATAGTCAATAAAATTACATAAAATTAGAGCAAACCAAGATAATTTATATGCCTTGCTCTTCCCCACCATCCAGAAATAATTAATCTTGAACCAGCCTCAGTTGTTATATATTTTAAATCTGTTCTATCACGACCATAACATTATTATTATTGATTCCACTATTCAGCTAAATATAACAAACAGAATGGACAAAAAGAACATACGCTTAACTTTCGGATCTTCAGGATTATTCCTAAAGTGATTTTTTTCATTATTTGCACCTCTAAATATCGCATATCCAATGGCTTGCAGACAAATTATAAATATAATCTGGAGCCGAGATAAATGAACAGGATGCAAAGCAAGATACCTTGCTTGAAGAGCATATAAAAATCCAACCCATGTAAAATTTCCAAATGACAGCATCCAACCAAAGCCATCTGTAGTGATATCCATCGTTGTTAAAACTGCAGGCTGATTTAAATTTAAATGAAAATATAAAATAATTTAGTTTATAAATTTTTCAAAGTAATAATATTGCGTAAATAAGAAATTACCATAAATTTACCTCATTGTAAACAGCATCAATACAATACCATCCTTGAAAAATTAAGATTAAGAACATTCCAATTGTGACATACCCAAGTTCATGATATTGTTTAATAGCCATGGCTGTATTTACAATGGTCCAACAAATTAAGCCTGGTCGAAGTTCCACAAAACACTTAATATCGAATGATCCAATACGTGGATTCAATTCTCGACCAATCATAAACTTTTAATCAAAAGAGAAATATTATGTAAATGATTTCTTAGTAAGTAATTTAATATATATATATTTATATCTTACATCATAAATAATATTTCCAGAATTTCCACCAAGCGCTAATAATTTTCCTTCTTGGAATGAAGCTAAATAAACGTACAACGAAAGGACGAAAGCCACAATTATTGAAGAGGTAATTAAACCGATAAAATGATCATCAATGAATAAAAAAGGTTCATGTCCTTTAGTATTTAAGATGAAAATGACTATAAATAATGTTAAGATCATGCTATAAAATCCATTCACTTTGTATTTTAATTTTGTGCCATCACGAAGCTGAGTTCCCTCAACCCAATGACCGGGTATTAAGTAATAGATTATAACTAAATACGCCAAATAAATCATATAAGCAAAAAAAGCGGTTAGATCAAATAATGACAAAATTTTGGATAAAGTAAATAAATTTTTAAGGTTATTAATATCGGACAGATAGTTAATGAGTGCATGAGATGGATTGCCATCGAATTGACAGCTTAAATGCAAAACGCAAGTAAGAATTGGAAGTACTGTAATCATTAGAAATGCACCAATTGGCCCTAAAAACTCATATTTCGTAGTTTTTGGGTTCAAAACAGATTCATTTTTTGACGGCATATTTTCTATCAAAGTTTATTAAGAAACGTAAATTATTGCTCTTTATATTTCTATCGATGATCGATCGTGAAATATCTTGTATCACAAATTTGCATATCGATTTTTTTTTCGGAAATCAACCAATTAGTATCTATACCATATATATGTAAAAGTTTGTAAAGTTTGCACGATTGTCATGGTGTGTACAAATAGCATAGTCGAGATCGTCTGTTAAACTATTCGAATAAGAACTTGTGTAAAAAAATCGAAAACACAAAAACTCATTGGGGCATCCATAATTTACAACCAATATTGTTATAGATAATCACAATATAGTACTGGTTTAACGTAAATTATGGTTGCCCCCTTATGCGAATTAGAGTCAGAAAAGATGTTATTTTATGATGAATTTTTGTAAGAATTTTTTTTTAAAAAAAACTTAAACGGTTTCATAGGTAAATTCAGAGTTTTTGGCGATTTTTTAAAAAGAATTTTTTGGGGAAAAGACAAATTTTTACAATTACAAAGCAAATTTGCATATTTATTAAAGAAAATATAATCCGATTTAAAATCCTTAATTTGAATAAAGATATCTTGATAAATATCTAACCAAGTTTGATAAAAATTTTTTATCAAATTCTACTAGTTATAAGTTTGAATAAAAAAAAAAAAAATTCATTAAATTTGGCTAGGTACTTATTAAGATATCTTTGTTTAAAGTTTTAATAAAAATCTGCATATTTGTCAAAATACAAATTATATCAGTTTTTAAAACCTAAATAAAAATATTTCAATAAGTATTTAATCAAATTTAATAATTTTTTTTTATTTGAATTCTATAGATTCATAAAATTAAATAAAAAATTTTATCAAATTTAATTGAATACTTATTAAAATATTTTTAAAAAAATTAAAAAATGCAAGTTCTAATAAAGTTCTTAAAATTTTGATTAAAGTATCTTAACAAGTGTTTAATTAAATTTAATAAAAATTAATTTTGTTGGTATTAATATAATTTTTTTGCTAAAATATAAAGTTAGGGTGTATTTATCATCGAAGTCTATCAGTTGTGACCAATCACATAAAAGATTTCTAGGAATATTTTTATTCAAAACACTGATCACTATATCAAGATCACGGGGTATACCCTGATCCGTATCAGGTATGTGTTGTGAGACCCGAAAACCATGATCGATCACGTGAAAAATGCACGAAATGCAAGAAGTGCAAATACTTACATTTATGATCGAAAAGG